AGATAAGGAACTTCGATTATAAGTATTCTGTAATAACAGCACTCTTGCTCCAACTATTATCTTCTAATTAGAGCTCTTTTAGCATGCTTACACACATCAGGCAGCCCACAACTGCTTGAAACTCCAGTGCCAGGGGATCTGACACCCTCTTCTGGCCTTCTGGGATACTACACTCATACACAGAGACCCACATACAAGATCTTTGGAAAGGGCAGGCTAGATTGCTGCCCTAGTTTGGGAACTTTTCCTGTGGCATGATGAGCTTTTCTAGCAGCCCTTTATGGCTCCACTGAGACCAATGGAGAGCTCTGCTATCTTCTTTCCTTTCCTATCTTTCACACTGGAGACTGAAACTACCACTCAGTGATATCCCAACTTTTTGTTGTTGTTTTTACCTTTATGGGACAAGGTCTCACTGAGTTGCCCAGGATGGCCTTAACCTTTTTATCATCCTGATTCAGCTCCTCAGGTAGTTGGTATACAGACCTGGCTAGCTCTGCTGTTAAGGAGTGAGGACACATATCTACACTTCTCTTACAAATCAACTCACTTCTTTAGAAGCGAGAGGAAAATAGCTAACACTTTTAAACTATCTCTATTTGCAGGGAATCTTTTAAAAGTCAACTTATTTATTTAAACTTTGTAGTGTTGGAAATCAAACTGATAGCTGATCTTCATTCCCACCCTCAATAATTATTTTTACAGGGAAAACAAAACAACACAAATTGCAAAATAATTCAGGTACTACTGCTTGATACTACCTAAGGGAATAAGGAAGTTCCAATGACTGGCACATTTTGCCCTACTTTTTTCAGTCTTCCTCAACTTAATTTTAATACTTTCACTAATAACCTAGTTGCAACATTCCCAAGAGAATTGTTTTTAGAAGACAGCAAAAGTAGAGAATCATTGCTTTCTTACGTCACAGCCAACAGTTTATAGGGAACAGCCTCAGTGGGGCAGTAAAGAAAGGTCTTCTGGGTTACACTAACACATTCTTCGAGTGAAGTACCACATAAGGCCTGTGATGATGAAGGTTTGGTGACAGCTGGGTCAGCATCATGAGAAATGTGGTTTGAGGGGTCAAGTATGTGTGTTATCTTAAAAAATACATCATTAAGTCTGGCTCTCTTACTCACAAACCTCTAGGTCATTCCTCTACAAACACCTCCAACCCTACTCTGCACATGCCAAGGAGTGCAGCCATACAGCAAACACCATCTAAAACAGTCTCTTAAAATCAAAGATCAAGCCAGGCATGGTTAGTGAATTCTCACAATCTTCGTATTCAAGAATGCTGAGATAGAAGGACAGTCATCAGAGTGTGAGGCTAGCCTGGAATGCACAGTGAAATCCTGTCTAGAAACAAAACAGAATCAGACTTCAACAAACAAGTGCATGAAAGCTTTCATCCTAACAAGTCTTATTCTGAAATAACAACTATCTCAAAAGGCAATGTAAACAATACAAACAGGATGGTATTTCACTTTGCTTTGTTTCTCTGAGTCAAGGTCTCCTATTGACTAGTTTAGCTATCTCTATCTCTCTAGTATTGGCATTGCAAGTATGTGTTACCACACCCAAAACCACAATGGAAGGTATTAACAGCCCAAAGTATTTATGGGTGAGGTGTGTGGACCAGTCAAGATGGGTTTTATGGAGGATGGAGAGATGGTAAGAGCTGCTCTTCTAGAGGGCCTGGGTTTAGTTTTTAGCATCCATATGGAGGCTCATAATCACCTGTAACTCTAGTTCCAGGGGACTCAACACCTTCTGGCTTCTGAGGGCACTGCATGTACATATGTAAAGACATACATAAAAGAGACATATGGGCAAATTACCATACACATAAAACACTAAAATAACAAAATAACAGAGCCAGGTGTGACAGATAGCACATGCCTTTAATCTCAGCACTTGTGTAGCAAAGGGGGGTGGATTATCTTTGAGTTTGTCGAGTGTATGTAGCAAGTTCCAGGACGGCCAGAGCTACATAATGAGATCCCATTTCTAAATAAGAGGTATGCCTCTGTGTATGTGTGTGTGAGAGGGAGAAAGACGAAGAGAGAGACAGAGAGGAGAGACATAGATGGGAGGGTGGAAGGGATGGCGGGAGGGAGAGAGAGAGGGAGGGAGGGAGGGAGGGAGGGAGGGAGGGAGGGAGGGAGAGTAAAAGCACACTTGTTTTGTGGTAGTGGAAGTCTCATCAGCCAATTAGACTCCAAGACCTCCATTCCTCCTACCTTGGCCTCTTGAGTGCTAGGATTTCAGGCAAGTGCCATCTTGCCTGGCTCTTACTCTGGTTTCTTTCCTGCTCTAAACACAACTGGACCCCTCTCCTCAGTCCTGGTTCCTGATATAAGCTACAGGTCCTCACTCTTCTTTTGGCCCTGAAACAAATTTTCAAGTGTAACTCACTTAGATATTATATTATTCCTGGCCTGGTTCAAAGTTAATTGGCCCAGGAATAATTAGCAGAAAGTTATATATAAATGAATTATGGTTAATTTTAAAAGTACATTTATTTTCCCTATGGATGTGCATGCAAGTGCCTGAAGAAGCCAGACACACTGGATCCCCCTGGAGCTGGAATTACAAACAACTGTGAGCTGCCCAGTATGGATGTTGAGAACTTCATTCCAGTCTCCTACAAGACCAGTATGTCCTTTTAAGTGATGAACCATCTCTCCAATAACACTATAGCTAATTTTTATCTGTACTCATGCTGTATGTGTTATGAATATACAGATATAGGAGAAACAACTGAAGGCTACCCCAGGCAGTGGTGGTGCAAGCCTTTAATCCCAGCACTTGGGAAGTAGAGACAGGTGGATCTCTGTGAGTTCAAGACCAGCCTGTCTGCACAGCCAGTTCCAGGACAGCTAAGACTACACAAAGAAACCCTGTCTTGAAAACAACAAAAAGAACTGAAGGCCAGCCTCAACTAGAGACACTGTGGGTTACTTTCTGTTTTCAAAGCAATTAGTTCTATTCCATTACTTCATTTTCCTTTAGGACACCTGGGCTTTCTCTCAACTTTCTCCTATTCCCACCTCTGGGTAAACACAGAAAAATAGCCTACTAACTTAATCTTAGTTTTCCTAACACATGCAATAATACTAGATAAGCATATCCAACTATAGTCATTGTGATAGTTACATAGCACTTTAAGGTTTACAAAGCATCTTCACAAATACACTGTCATTTGGTTTCATAACAATGTACTGAGGATGGTTAACAGAGCTATTTGCATTTTACAGAGGACAGAGCTAAAAGAGTGGAGGTTTGTGATACATAATTCCACATTATTAAATAATACTCAGAAATTACCTCACTGTATGTACTTTATATCTCAGTAAAAAGACAAAAACCAAAATACATTCTAAAACCTACTTTATTTTTCAGATCTGCCTATTGCTCATTCTTTCTCTCCTAGACCCACTATGGCGTTAGTGCTCAGAGGAAGGAGGACTGTCTAACATTGGAGGAGAGCCTTGTCTACATAATTCCAGGCTAGCCAGGGCTAGGACAATAGCTCACCCGGTAAAGTGCTTATTTGTCTTGCAAGCATGAGGGTCTGAGTTTGATATCCAGAACCCACATGAAAAAGCTGGGTACTGGGGCTGGAGAGATGGCTCAGAGGTTAAGAGCACCACTGGCTGTTCTTCCAAAGGTCCTGAGTTCAATTCCCAGCAACCACATGGTGGCTCACAACCATCTGTAATGAGAACAGCTGCCCTCTTCTGGGCCTGCAGGCAGAACACTGCAAATAAATCTTAAAAAAAAAAAAAGCTGGGTACTCCAGCACAAACAAGGCAGAGGCTAGCCTAACTGGTGGGTACCAGCCAATGAGAGACTTTTTCTCAAAAAACAAGATGGTTAAGAGCAGCACACAATGCTTTCTTCACACCTGTGTACACACATACATGTACACCTTCACACTTATGTGAAAAGAAAAGATCCCTAAATCCACTTTTTTTTTTTTTTTTTTTTTTTTTGGTAAGAGTGGTGGCATGCGTGTAATCTAGCACTTGGAAAACAGTGATGGGAGGATCTAGTTAGTTTCAGCTACATAGTGTGATGGAGGCCAGTCTCAACTACATAAGACTGTCTTAAAACAAAATAGAACAAGCTGGGCATGGTGGCACATGCCTTTAATACCAGCACTATAAATTTTTATGGTGGTGTTTTCACTTAAGCAAAAAGGAAATGCTAAGCAATGTTCCTTGAGACAGGTGGTGGTGGCATACATCTTTGATCCCAGCACTCAGGAGTCAGAGGCAGGTGAATCTCTGTGAGTTCAAGGCTAGCCTGGTCTACAGAGTAAGTTCCAGGACAGCCAGAGCTACACAGAGAAACCACATCTCAAAAACAAAACAAAACAAACAAACAAACAAAGAAAACAAAACCTCAAATTTTTGAGGCAATAGCCTCTTCAATAGCCTCATTAATGCTGACCTTCAGGATTTCCAGTCTACACATAGAATTCCAGGACAGCCACGACTACACTGAGAAACTGTGTCCCCCCCCCCAAAAAAATAAAAACAAAATGACACTGATAATGTTCAAGTTCTATTTTATACTATTATGATTTACAAAATCTGAGACAAGGATTGATATATTTTAAATTCATTTCTCTGCCTAGTTAAATTTTGAAACATTTTATTTATATTGCTCCTTAATTACAATGCTGGAGATACAGATTTATACAGTAGTATTGTATCTCTGAATGCTAATTTTGTTCATTAGGTAATTGGTCTTCCTAATTATCATTTTCCCTGCTAGAAAGAAAATCAACTACCTACGAGGCTTTGGGATCAGAAAAGAGAGCAAGCAGGCTGGAAACCAAGACTAAAATGGTGACTTGGAAAGGACAAGACATTAATAGTGCATCCTTTCAAATCCGAAGTCTAATTCCCAAGAACATAAGTAACTTTAAATGGATGGCTAACTTAAAAATTAAAACCCATGTTCAAAGGCCAGTCTTGGTAGATTTTTACCTCCAATGCCAAGGCAGTCTTGTCATAAGCACAAGGTACTCTCTTCTGGATTGCTTTTGCAAAGACAGGTCCATTCTGTGTGGATGGCAAAGGGTTGATCGCTGCCCCAGGAGGACTGGCAACTGTAGGTAGAGGAGTTGTGGTCTGAGGTTGAGCATATGCGTGAGCAGGTTCTGGGATGCCATAACTATTAGAATTCCTATTTCCGTGCTTTCCATGTGGTGAAGACCTCACAAGCTTTTCAACATAAGGGACAGGAATCATCCCAACCCGGCCATCCTTGTTCCGGGCACTCCACCACTGTTCTTCAGGCTTCTCTATTATCACTAGAATCTCCCCCTTCTTAAAAGGCAGGTCTTCAGCATCATTCCCAGGAAAATCATACAGAGTCCGTACATATTCCACATTTTCTTCTGCAGCAGACAAGCTGGGTGCTGAGACAGAACCCATTGGTGGGCTTGGATACCTTAAGAGAGAAACACAATTATTCTGAAGAAAAGTCTTATCTGATCCTATACTGGTATCTGTCAAAAAAATCTATTAACCACTCTCCTCTATAATGAAATATTCCTTCATTGTAGTCTCCATAATTAAGAATGTTTTGTCATTGTGTATTCTGGTTGTACTTTCCATAGTCTATAACAATATCCTAAATATACATGGACACATGTGCCACCATCCACAATGGTTTTGGAGTTTTTGTTTTCAGATAACTGATCTGAATTTATTTAACTTTTAAGTAAGTTCTGATGCAGCCTTCTTTTGTTATGACCACTACAGACATATTTCCTCACATTTTTCATTGATGGCTCACATCCTGTGTAGTTCCCTAGTCGCAACAAACAAAAACTAAAAGGGTGGTACACCCTTTTAATCCTAGAACTCAGGAGGCAGAGGCAGGCATCTCTCTGTGAGTTCAAGGTCAGCCTAGTCTACAGAGCAAATGCCAGGATAGGCTCCAAAGCTACACAGAGAAACCCTGTCTCAAAAACAACCAAGAAAGAAAAGAAAAGAGGGAGGGGGGGAGGGAGGGAAAACCATGGCCAGTTAATTGGCTCAGCAGTACATGACCTGTGATCTCCAAAATCAATGTAAATGGTAGAGAACCAAGTCCATAAAGTTATTCTCTGACTACATAAATGTCTGTACCCTCCTCCTCTAGCTGATAAACAAAACTAAAAAACACAGAAAAAGGTGTCAAGTGTGTAGTAAGACTGGGGAGCTTTAACTCAGCCCTAGGAAGGCAAGACAGACAGATGTCTAAGTTCCAGGCCATTCATCCAGAGTTGCATGAGACACTGCCTCAAAAAGAAAAAAGTATGTGTGTGTTGGGGGGCTTGCCTAGTATGTATGTACAAAGCCCTGGATTTTTGATGTCTCTAACAAACAAATAAAACCAAAATCCAAACCAGATAAAATTCCATTTTAATGCAAGTTTTGAAAATTCAAGTTGAACTACTTTCCAAACAGTCCTCCCTGTTCTTTTGTTTTTACTGTTTTAAGGAAGTTTCACTGGAAGAACAAAACAAGGAACAATAAAAAGAAAGAAACATGGGTGGAGAGATGGCCATTGACGTGGTTATGACACAAGCACAAACACCTGAGTTCACACTGGCCTAAGTGAAAGGTCAGGCATGGGGAAGGCAAAGGCAGGGAGATCCATGGCCAGCTACTCTAGCATATCAGTGAGCTACAAGCTTGGTAAGAGACAGTCTCAAAAAGGAAGGGGGGGGGGGTCTGGTATTTCACAATTACAAATTGGGAAACTTGGTTTTAAAGCAATTTTTATTCTTTCTATATTGCTTATTTCAGAACATAAGTAGTATTGCCTGTATGTATTGTCCAAAATATTCAGTTAAATATCATCCAAAATTATACCAAAACAATAAAAAAGTTAATACTTCAAAAAAAAAAAAAAAAAGGGGGGGGGGAAAAGGGGGGATTACCCAATGGGTAAAGGTGTTGACTGTTAAAGCCTGCAGGTCTTGTGTGTGGTGGCATGCAGCTAATAACCTCAGCACTCCTTTAATGAGATGAGAGCCAAGACAAGAGTCACCTAGCAGCTCGAGGGCTAGCTAGCCTGGAGTACTCTCTGAAACAGCAGAGACAGAGAGATCTTGATTGAATCAAGGTGGAAAATAAGAACCCACTCCTGAAAGCTACCCTTTGACTTCACATGCATTCTGTGGCAATGTGCCCCCAACACTTGCAAAATAAGTAAGTTAAAACAAAAGGTGGAGAATGATTTTTCAAATCTACTTCATCATTTGTATGGGCGTTTTGTCTGCATGTTTGTCTATGCACCATTTGTTTGTTGTGCCACATAAGCTAGAAGATATCAGATTCCCCCTAGACTGGAGTTGCCTGTTTTAAGAGAACCAAACCTGGGGCCTCTGGATGAGCAGCCAGTGTTCTGAACTGCTGAGCCATTGTAGTGATTTAAATGAGAATGGCTCCCATAGGCTCATATATTAGAATAGTTGGTCTCCAGTTGGTGGAACCCTTTGGGAAGGATTAGGAGGTATGGTCTCAATGGGAAAGATCTGTCACTGGGGGAAGGCTTTGATGTTTCAAAAGGCCCATGCCATTCCAGTTATATCTCTGTTTCCCTTCCTCCCTCTCCCTCTGGCTTGTACCAGTGGATCGGAATATAAGCTGCTGCCCGACATGATGGTCAAGGACTCTAACCCTGTGAAACTTTGTGCCCCAATAAATATTTTCTTTTATATGTCACCTTCACCAAGGTGTCCTAAAAAATTAATTAAATCAGCCATCTCTTCAACCCCTGAAGAGCAATTTCTGAGGAAGACATTCACTATCAACCTTTGGCCCTCACATGCAAGCACATACATGACTTGCACCCATCCACGTGCAGATCAATAAACACACACACACATACCCAAGCAAACAGCTTACATGCATGCCAAGTTTTTAATGGGTCCCTAAATTCTATTGTCAACAAGAATTACCACCTAATCATTAATAAAAGTTTGTACTGCAAAAGTCACAACCATCAGCTAGCTCACTGGGTTCCAAAACTATGCATTTGCCATGGAGAATTCACTTGAGAATCCCAGCTGGGAGTATAGTTCAGTCACAGGGAGCACAAAGCTCTGGATTCTGTCCCCAGAACTAATGAAGGAAAACAAAAGGGTTTTAAAAGCATAATACCAGCTGGGCACTGGGGACACACACTTTTAATCCCAGCACTCAGGAGGCAGAGGCAGGAGGATCTCTGAGTTCAAGGTCAGCTTGGTCTACAGAGCAAGTTCCAGGACAGAATTCAAAGTAATACAGAGAAACCCTGTCTCAAAAAAACCAAACAAAACAAAACAAAAAACAAAACAAAACAAAAAAAAAAAAAAAAAAGGGCATAATACCAGCTCTTCAGTAACAGCCTATGTAAAACTAGTACAGAAGACTCTCCTCACCTAGGAAATAGTCTAAAAACATGCAAATGTGCCAAATTTTTTTTTGGGGGGGGGTCACCTGCTTACTCATCCACTATCTTTCCCATTTTTTCTGAAGCACAGAATCTACACCAGATTGAAAAGAACCTGTTTTAATCTGAGTCTACACCTCCTTAGGAGCTGGCTTCAGCAACAAGACCATCACCACTCCCATTTGGGACATTCATAACAGTTCCTGATAGACAAACTCTCTTGTGTGGTATATACATACACCCTAAAAGGATATCCTCTCCCCAATTTCAAGAAGCACAGAGCTTCTATTCCAAGGTTGGTGTATACCATACTGATTTTACTTTACAGCACAGTAAGTTCTATTTCAGCTCGCATCCAAGGGTGTTAGCATTTGTATGGATTTAAACAGTTAAACAGACAAGCATGAGAGGCAAAAACAGGCAGGTATCTGTGAGTTCAAGGTCAGACTGGTCTACATAGTCTACATAGGACAGTCAAGGCTACACAGATTCTGTCTCAAAAATAAATGAACAAAACAACATAACTCCAAACAGTTAAACACCACAGATCATGAGGGCACCATTACACCTTCAATGTGGACCCAAAACAGTAAAACCCATGTACCAGACAGCCACAAACCCTAGTATATACTAAGCAATTATGAGACCAAGAATATGAATAAAACCAACCTTTTGTTTTTGAAAGACCATGATTTAGAGACAGAGCAGGAATAAAACTAAGCATAAAGCACAATTATTGTGTGTTGGGGCAGGGGCAGATGAAATTCAGGAGCACTCTACAGAAATACTGAATTTTGAAAAGTCAGAATAAGGCCTTATTCTGTGTTTTAAATGTGACATGTACCCTATAGGCTCTTGTGTTTTCGACACTTGATCCCCAGGTGACAGCACTGCTTTGGAACCTATAAGAGGGAGGGGAAGCCCCACAGGAGGCAGAGTTGCCAGAAGCACATCCTAAACTTTGGTAGTCTGTCTGGCTCCACATCCTGTCTACTGACTGTCTGCTTCCTGACCGGTGAGGCTATGTGATCATCTCTCTGCCTCATGACTCTGGTACCATGCTTTCCCAGCCATGCTGACTGTGTCTCCTACCTTCTTAAACTGTGAGCTGAAATAATAAACTTATCCTCCCCTAAGTTGCTTCTTGTCAGGTATCTAGTCACAGAAACAGAAATACAATGCCTACAGATGTGATGCCAAAGCAAAACAAACAAACAAACAAAAAAATAGCCCTTCCAAGATTTTGCTTTAGATGGACTTAGTTGGCTACAGCCCCAAAGACTCAGATGCTTCTCATGCCCCAAAAGCATCCCAAACAACAGAAGCTCTGCTAAAGGCCTTCCAGAAGAGAGGAAACTTCTGTGACACAGCGGGTTAGACAGACATCGAGATCTGCAGACTATAAATGGTTTTTATTTTTTAATGCTAGGCATAGCGGCATTCACTATTTTAAAAATTACTGCTTTTTATTTTATTTGTATATATATATATATGTCATATTATATGTGGTAAACACATGTGAATGTGTGGGTACATGCATCCATGTGTGCACATGAACAGGCCAGAGCAAGCAAGACATTATATTTCTCCTTGGAACAGGGTCTCTCAGTGAACTTGAAGCTCACTATTTTTTTGGGATAGGCTAGCAGGACAGCAAGCTCTCAAAGATCCACTTGTCCTCTGTTACCCAAATGCTAGGGTTACAGCCATCATACAGCCATGCTTTTTCTTTTCTTTTTGACAAGATCTTACTATTTTGTTATGAAGTTTTGGCTGCCCTGGGACTTGATATGTAGACCGGGTTGAAATTCCTAAGAGATCTATCTCCCTGCCTCTGTTTCCAAAGTACTGGGATAACAGTGTCACCATGCCTGACCATAGCTACATTTTTATATGAATTCTAGGGATTTGAATGAAGTCCTCATGTTTTCAGAGCAAGTGCTCCAGTGAACTCCTTGTGTCTGTAAAAATAACTTTCTGTTCTGTGATAGAGTTAGTTCCAGCATACCAGGACTGTTACACAG